GCCCAGCTAGAACTTGAGCGTGCGCGAAGCGCGCGCGATGGTTCTAGTAGTTATACATATGTATGTATGTGTATATGTATACATACGCATACATACATGCATGCATGCATGCATGCATACAGGCATACATACATACAGATATGCACACACACACACACACACACACTGGACATCTAAAAGGACCCTACCCAGCGTGGCCATGACGGGAGGGGGGGTCACTCAGAGGACCCCAGCCAGAGCGGCTCTGGCGGGAGGGCCCACCAGGTGAGGCCGGCGTGGCCCGACATGCGGAGAGAGCAAAGGGGAGAGGGGGGGGGCAGCGGGGAGGGGAGGGGAGGAGAGGGGAGGAGGGCAGCGGGGAAGGGGGGGGGTGGGGTAAACGAGGTGGAGGAGGGGGGGGGAGGGGGACGCGCGCGAGCATGCCAGCACACCAGGGAGAAACGCGGACGGAAGGAGCAGGCCGCACGCTCCCAGTTCGGCCCCCCAGTCAGCACGGCCTGTGCCAGTCGGCGCGTTCGCGGCCACGAGCGCCGCCGCGGGCTGTGGCTGAGGCGGACGACGGTGCAGCGGAAGCGCTGGGGCTGCCTCGGCGCCCCTGCGCTATCCCGCCATGGGTGGCTCCTGGGGCGCGTCAGGGCCAATGAGGCAGGCCAGGCGGCCTAATCCCTCTTCTACGTTTCCTCAAGTGATTTGTTTTTGCGCATGCTCATTCTTTCAGTCATTCATGCGTCCACTCATTCACTGGAGGCCCTTGGCCGCGCAGGGCGGCGCGGTGTGACGCAGGCGCTGCCAGCACGGGTGGGGTGCCACGGGGGTGCTGCTGCGCCCGCGGTGGCCGCGTCGAGGTGGCCATGAGCGCTGCACTCCTGAGTGCTTGCCCAACCGTTTTAGAGCCCGTCTCCCCTTGGCCGTGCCCAGAGGGCGCGATCCAGACCCCCCTCCCGACGGCCGCCGCGACGAACGGATCGGTAGACCCCCCTTCAGGACCTCGCCGAAGCCAGGCTCCGAGCTCAGATTAGCAGACCCCGACGAGGCGGGCACAGAGGGGCCATCATAGGCACGTCCCACCCAATAACAGACCGTCATGAATGCGCGTTTGGGGAAGAAAGACCGTTACAAGCTTTCGTACTCATCCTCTTCACCAGCGCGCTCCTTAGCCAGATCCGCGCCAAAGCACTCTTGGAGGTGAGCACCAAGTTTGCCTGACCATGGCCAGCCAGTTCGGTCTCATTGCTAATGGAAGCGCCATATGCGTAGCATTCTCCCCCAAATTGACGGGTCAAGTACCAGATGGGCCGTCAGACCACCAGACAGGTTCTCCTGGGAAGAAGGAAACCATAGGCCTGCACATTCACATTCGCCAGTCTTCAACAAAATCTTACATTTCAGTGGACCCACCGCCTGGGAAGATCAAGGGTCCGAAGCTGAGCGAGGTTTGGTGTGCCTGTTGCCAGCTTGGCACCTTGATCAGTTTCGGCGCCTGTCCTCTCCCACACCTTTCGATGCATGTTCTGTCCTGGTGGCTGGACGTTCTTCGGGGCGGGCTCTTGTCGTCTAGCTTTGACATCCCTGGAGGGGCGCGTTGCCGCGAAGGGGCGGCGGCAGCGGCCGCAGCCCTCCCCTGGGGACCGTCGCGCCTGGAGGTGGGGCCAGGACAGGAACGGTTGTGCTGGGCTGCTTCTCTGGAGTTCGTCTGCTGGGAAGCCGTCACTATCCCGATGATCCGGAAAAGCGCGCCGAGGGAAACCGTGGCCATCGCGATTTTTGGAAGAGGCATTCGGCGTTGAAGTGCGAGAAGATTTCGTAAAATGTGCGCGGGGGTTCGTGGTCATCACCAGGTAGGGACGCATGGCAAGCGGGGCCGCAATGGCTCACGGACATGGCGCGCACCACTGGCAGACAGATCCCCACGAGCCCCGCGTAGGCCGTTCAGCGCGGGTGGGGGTGGGAGGCGGACCGCTCGCCCGTCCTGCCATTCTAGGGGGACGCGAAGACCCTGTGAGCGACACGGTGGGACCTTGAAGGGCTATCAAGCCCTGACCACTCGCGTCGTGGAAAAAAGCTGGTTGGTCGGCGGCATGTCGGATCTGGGATGCGGGCGGGCTACGCTTGGACGAAGGCGAAGCAAATTGAGGCACACAAGAGAGGGGGGAGGGAAGAGGAAAAAAGCAGACGACCGCGCGCGGCCAGGGGGGCATCAGAGCGTGAAGTTTTTCGGGTCGTGCTGGAGGCAGGCTCACGTACTCGTCGCTGCTTGTGCGACAATAGGCCAGTACAGCAAACCAGGGTGAGGACGAAGTGTCGTGTTCAGATGCGTACAAAGATCCAGGGAAGGACAAGACTTGCCACCACAATGCAATCCATGGAACGGAACAAAACCAGCATCCAAAGACACCACGTCGTTACAGTCACATGAGTCGCGCCGAATGGCGGCCAGGGTCGATGCCAGGGGCTGGAGCCAGCAAAAGGACAGACGAGATCGAGCCAGGCAGTCAACATAGTGACGGTGCGTGCGCGACGTACCGAAGACCAGGGACATGAGCACGGCACAACATGAGCGTGGCCACAAGTGGGGGGAAACCTCCAGGTCGTGGAACGATTCCCTACGAGAGCCGTGCCGAAATGTCCAACACTGGAGCAGCAGCATGGCGCCAGGCTGGGCCGCGCAGCGCCGGTGCTGCGGGGGCAACCAGAATGGCCGCCGAGGCGGCCGGGCTGCGCGCGGGGTGCCAGGCCAGGCCGTTCCACACCAGGCAGGCACGGCTCTGCGCGAAGGTCCAGCGAGGCCACCCAGCGCCGGGCAGAGGGGCTGGTTGCGGGGGCGGAGGCCTCCGATAGCGGCGGCTGGGCACGACGCGGCGGCCCGCGAGGGGGATAGGGAATAGGAGGGGGGGAATGAGAGGGGAAGGAAGAAACCAGGGTGGCAAAAAAAACAGCAGCGATGTCTCAAGAACGCGACGGGTGTTGTTTTACTATCTTCGGTTCTTCGGGGCCCTCGCCGAGCCTTGGGGCATGAAAAAGAGCCCTGGATGAGACATTGAGCCCAAGGGAGGGGTCGAGGCCTCCGCGGGGCCAGGTTCTGAAGAAGTCATGACGTCGGGGTCCGGGCAGGCACTTCGCACACAGCACGCGACCAGCAGGAGGGCTCGCGCTCGGAAGCAGGACCGCCACGGGTGTGCGAGCTCGGCCCTCTCATCAGCGCGCCCTTGGCCAGATCCGCACCATGGCAGTCTTGGTGGTGGTCATCGTGGCCGCCTCAAGCCAGCTTATTACTGTTGAACTGAATCCGTTGCATGCGTAGCACGCTCTCACCCCCGTGTCCGGGCAGGGCCACCGTGGCAATCAGCGCCCTGACCCCGCCTAAGACTGCCATACACAGCTCGAGCCAGACCCAAAACAAATCAGACCCCCGCCCCTGTCTTATAACATCCGAAGCGCGACTACACCACAAATTTGCACTTCCGCCACAGCTTTGCACCACGTCCTGAGCTAAGCATTCAAATCGGTGCCGCGAGACCGCGAGAGCACCTCATAGGCACAATTTAAATCGGTGCCGCGAGACCGCGAGAGCACCTCATAGGCAATTTACCAGGGCATGCGGTAAAGCACGTCGATGTAACAGAACATGACGCACATCAAGTCGCCACACGGTTACCAATTTGCACCACCGAGCCTGTTGCGAAGCTGGCAGGTGCCCCTCAAACGCCACTTGGCGGCGTAGGGCACGACATGGAGGCCGAGGAGGAGAAACGAAGGCAATGGAAAGAGTCGGATTTCGGGAATATGATGCCTTGACGTAGCCAGATCAAGTATGGACAATCGCCACCCTCTGATTTTCTTGGAGACCACGAGAGAAAGGCCGAGCACCGATACATCCCTGAAGCGGTAGCGTTGCTTGCTGGATTACCTTCTCGCCCCACAGAACCTGGACAATGCACACCACGGGCCAAAGAGCACGCGAGCGAGACATCAACGTGAGCATCGCTTGTCGAGGTAGGCCGCCGCGCAACCCAAGAAGCACGGTATCGTTCATCCCGCACCGCAGAATTGCATGCGCACACCACCTTTCGAAAACATGCCAAAACAGCGAAGGCATTGCCAAACACAAGTGGCGATTGACACCAAGCAGTGACACGAAAGGCCACACATCATTGGCTTCACATATTGTGGGCCCGGATAAGTCAAAAATGAATTCAAACATGCCCCAACCTCCGCAGCCCTTGGCTATTTCACTTGTCGCAGAATTGCGCGATGTCAACGCGGCCATGAACAGCAGGAATGCGAGGGCCGTAAGACCTGGTGGGGTATCCCCCAGGCGCTATCAAGTCGAAACGATACAAATGTAGCACGTTTTGCTTTGATACTGCCAATGCTTCAGAAGAAAAAGAAGAAGAAGAAGAAGAAGAAGAAGAAGAAAATGGAAAGCCCCAGCGGCAGGACACGCGCCCCAAGCGCTACGTGGAGCCACTGGGCACGATCCGAGATTTGCCCACCTGGAACCGAAACGAGAGAGAGGGAGAGAGGAAGGGGAGCGGAGAGGGAGCGGGGGGGGGTAGGGAGGGAGGGAGGGGCGGGGAGGGGGGGAGGGAGGGATGACGGGGGAGCGGGGAGTGGGAAGGCAGGGGGGGGCAAAGGGACGCAAGGAGCAAGGGAGGGCAGAGTTCAGCGCAACGTGTAACGTCTGCATAGAGGCCTGTCGCGGTGTGGCTCGAGGCGTCCCAAAGAAAACACGAAGGGAGGGGGAAGGGAAAGAGAGGGGAGAGAAGGGGAGGTGATGGGACAAAGGGCAGGGCGAGGGTCAGACGACGGCCCTTGCGGACCAAAGATCACAATCGATCTTCGTCAGTGGCAACTTGAGGGGGGGATAGGGCTCAGGGGGCGACGCATCGACCCCCAAGCGCCCATTGATCGCCGATGGGGGCCCATAGCCCACCCCGCCCGTGCGGATTCGCTATCGGGAGCCCATCGCGCATGTATCGGCGATGTATCGCCGATTCCAGCTCCAGTTTCCCCTCCATGGGCCGGTCACCCCCGAACGTTGCCTCTCATTTTGTAGCAGCAAACTGACTCGAGCCTTGGCGAGTGGACTTAGCAGCTGCAGTGGCGCCTGCTGCAAAAGAAGGTGGTGCTGGTCTTCCACGAAGATGAAGTGCTTGCTGCGCCCAAGATTTCCAGCGCTGTTCCGTCAGCGCGTCTTGGTGTGACGGGCAAGCGCTTCTTCAGTATTTGAGGAACGTCTGCCAGGCGATGACATCCAGGTTCGCTTGGGAGGCGAACCCTCGTATTCCCTGCCTTCTTCCCCTTCGGCCCCATCCCTCCCACTCCACCCTCTTCATCCTCCTCCTGCTGCTGATCGCTGCTTGGGTTGGCAAGTCGCCAAACCACCGCCGATCCCAGCACCGACCCTTCACAGGGTTGCACGGCACGCTTCGGCGCCCCGGCTGGCGGGTCACAACAGGTGTTTCGATTGGGGACTGTGTGTCAAGCCTCTTCGGCATGAGCCGGAATCGGAGTGTTTGTTGGAAGGGGTCGAGGAGGAGAAGGAGGAGGGAAAGGAGGAGGAGGAGGAGGAGGAGGAGGAGGAGGAGGAGGATGGAGGAGGAGGAGGAGGAGGAGGAGGATCCTACGGTGGTTGCTGCAAAGATGGCGTGCGACGTGCCGCCGCCGGCCCCCTTGTTACATGCTACCCCCCGACCTTGGGGACAGCGTGCACGGAGGAAGCCCTGGCTGGGGGGGGGGGGGCAGCGTGCACAGAGGGATCCATCGCAGGGGGGGGGGGGCCCCCAGGGGTAGCGTGCGCGAAGGAAGCCTCCTTTGGGGGATGGCGTGATCTTCGGAGGTCGGCGCTGCACGCCACCGTTGCGACGCCACCCGCACCCTGGGAACGACACGCGAGATCGGCGCAGTGATTTCGCACTCGCCGCGCTTTCAGCTGCCGAGTGCGGGGTCTGGGGGGATCCCGCAAGCACCCCGTCTCTTGGTATCGTTCGGACGTGTGCACTTTTTCCCGGCTGGGATTATTAAGGAGCATCCTGGATCTTCCTGCAAAAAAACCACGCACGAAACCGAAAAAGAACACAGGGAATGGACGTCCGAGCGATGGCGAGGTCTGCCGCTACAGTCATTGTGCTGCCATCAGGGCTGCTGGGTAGGGCGCGCAGGGGGCCTCCGAGGCCACGGCGAGCCTCGGCCACGAATGGGCTCCCCGACCTAGCTCTGAGGACCCGCCCGCACATCGGAGCCTCCCCCCAGGCGATCGCAGACATAGACCCAAGGGGCCGTGGACCAGCGACGGGTCCCGCTTCCGCTGGACATCGCGCATCTCCGCCGCCGAGCGAGGCGGCACCGGCCGCGGCCGCACTTCGGAGAGGGCACCTCCCCCGATCCGCGGGCCGGGCGACCGCGCGTAGCAGACCCCACGGCTCGCCCAGTGACTCCAGGCCTGCGCGCCCCCGCTGCCTGGCGCCCACCGCGACTTCTCGCCTGCCGGAGGCGGAGGAGGAGGAAGCGGAGGAGGAGGAGGAGGAGGAGGAGGAGGAGGAGGAGGAGGAGGAGGCGCTGCTGCCCCCCCCCCCCCGCCGCACGCCACGCGCCCCCCCTCCTCCGCACGCCTGCCGCGAGCCGCGCGCGGCCACCGCGCGCGGGGCGCGCGGGGCCCCGCGCGCGGGGCGCGGGCGGGCTCCCGGGGCGCCGGCGGGCTCCCGGCGGGAGAGGCTCGGCGGTGCGCAGGAGTGGCTCGGCGGGGTGGGGCGACCTCTGATGACCTCTGGCGCGCGGCTTTTTCTGGGGGCCGCGGGGGGCCCAGATCTGGGCGCGCAGCCAGCTGCGACTGCGTCGCTTCTTCAGCCATTCTGGGGGCCCATCTGTGCCCGCACCATAAGGGTCGCTCCTGCGAAAGGTCACTCTTTACGTCCAGTCGACTCAGAGGGGGGGGTGTTCGACATATTCCCAGGAATCAGGACCCGGATCCGTTTTTTTCTGTCCGGCGGTTTTCCGTGGATTTCGGCCCCTGGGGGCCGTTATCGGGCCGCCGGACCAGCAAAAAGAAGTCCCGGACGAAAAAACACCCCCGGGGAAGGGGTCGGGATCTCTGGGGCCGCGGCATGGAGAATCAGATCAGCGGGTGTCAGGGGACCTGACATCGAGGGATGGACAATTGGCAGAACAGACATTTCGGAGGTCGAAGACGAGAAAACTTCATAAACATGAACTGTTGGAGCTCCGTGCGGATTTCATGGATCGGCGCTAGACCCCCCTCCCTGGCGCGCAGAGCACGCCAGGGGCGGCGCCGGAGGCGCCAGCAGGGGGGGCCCAGCGCCGGCCCAAGAAATCCTCGCAGAGCTCCAAAAATGTATGTTTATGAATCGCTTCGCTCATTCCGCCGGCCCTGGAGCCCTCTTTAGGTCCTCTTGGGGGCCTCTTGGGGACCTCTTGGGAGTCTCTTGGGGCTCTTTGGCGGCGTCTTGGGGGCCCCCAGGGCCTCTTGGGGGGCTCTTCGGGGCCTCTTGGGGCGGGAGGGGGGGCAGTCAATTGCGGCTCCCCCCTCGGAGGCCACGATCCTCGTGAGGGGTGTCGAAAAATGGCCCTCCCCCGGAGTGCTCTGCGGGGGACCTGACCGGGACCTGGCCGGGGTACTTTTCGTCGGGGGGCCCCCAGGGGCCGCTCCGCGCGCGCGAACTAGAAATATTGTTAACCAGTTACCGGAGATTTTAGCACGCCTCTGGCCCGTTCGGCCGGCGAAAATCGTTTTTTGTTGTTAGAGGAGGTCCTCGCCGATTTCTCGGATCGGCGCTGGGGCCCCCTTCCTTCCTGGCGAGCGGAGCGCCGATCCGAGAAATCCGCGCGGACCTCCGAAAGTTAATGTTTATGTCATTGTCTGTTCCTCTATGAAGTTTGAGGCCTCCCAGATGGGGTCCGAGCAGATGGGGTCGGAGGATCGCGCCGCATCGGCGATGCGGTTCGATGTGGAGCCCGATGTTCGCCACGCCGACGTCTCCGATACATCGCCGGCGTCGCCGATGCATCGGTGATGCATCGACGATACGGCGCGACCTTCCGACTCCATCTACTCCGAACCCATCTGGGAGGCCTCTACATCCGCCAATGATGTCTTCAATGCGCGGCGCCAAAGCTGCCGACCTCTTCTCCAGGGCTAATTTTGCACCCTGGAACCACCTGTGAGGGGCCCCGGGGCCCAGAAACGGCTCCCACGTGCCCAATGTGTTGTTACAGCCAAAAAATGAAAAGGCAAGTCGTTGTTCCCAGGAAAAGGTCCAGACCTCTGGAGGGCCACACTGTGGAAAAGACACCCGGCCTAATGTTTTAGGGGAGAGGGGGGGGGACTCCCTTTCGATCGGGAGGGGCTGTCCGTTGGTTCCCCCCGATCGGAGGTGACGGGACCCAAGCTTTTCATATACTCCCAATTTTCTTTTTGGAGGAGGGGGAGGAGGGGGAGGAGGGGGAGGAGGAGGAGGAGGAGGAGGAGGAGGAGGAGGAGGAGGAGGACCTCCAGGGGCTTCGGCGAGAGAAATATGTTGCACGTGGTTTCTCGACGTCTGGGGGTCCTCCCGGCCTTGCGGGGGGCCGGCCCGTGCCCGGGGGTCCTCCCGCCGGGGGGGCCCTCCCGGGGGGCCCCCGCGGAGGCTCCCACGAGAGAGGCTTCGCAGCGGAGGCTCGCCGGGGCGGCGCTGCGCGGGAGCCGGGCGGGCGTGCGGCCCCTCGGCGAGAGGTGGCCCACTCTGCTCCCAGGCCTCCTGTCGGGTCGGGCGAAAGGGGGGGATTGGGAAAGGGGGGGTTACGAAATTTGCTGCATGCAGCTGGTTTAGGCCTCACCGAGGGGCCCATTCCTCGATACATAGCTCCATCCGGCGCCAGGAGGCGCCGGGAAAATCAGCTATGTGAGCTGATTCTCAAACCCCCCCTTTGCTATCCCCCCCTTTCGCCCGGCCCGATCCTGGGGCGCTGCCTCGGATGCTGCGGGCCTCGGGGCTCTTCGACTCGCCTCCGCAGGGACCAGTCACTTCGCTGACGCTGAAGCGCTGGGGGACGTCCCTGCCCCCCTTTTTCAGCCTTTCAGCGCCTGGCCAGCCCAAAGGGAAAAATACGCGGCAGCCCAAAACATAAAAGCATCACACAACGGAGCCGGACCGGAATCGGCGCGAATGAGAATCCTAAAACGGGAAAAGCAATACATTTCGAAACGGAACCAAAAACGCCGAACTTGAAAATTCAAGAACGAAACACGGGTTCCCAGGATCTGTTTCTGGTGGCCCCCAGGGGCCCAGACGGCAACCCCCAGGAGGCCGAGAGTTGGGGAAGCGTGCGCTTTGCTTTTGCTGGAGTCGTCAGAGATCGGGATCCGCGGCCCCCAAGAGAGCCCAGGCTCGAGAGTGTTGGCCTCGCCGGTCTATTGACAGACAGGTGCAGCGCTTCTCCGTCTCCCTACCAAATCCCTGATATCCCCAAAACCGAACTCCCAAGTTCCCGCTGATTAGAAACTTGCTTCTCTGAGAAGGTCAGCGCTTAAGAGAAAGCTCGAAAGATTCCTAGATCTACTTCAATGAAAAGTCGAGGCTTACAAGAGCCAGGCAACGCGGTCCGTAGCCATTTTGGCTCAAGCCAGTTTGGTTCAAGCAGTTCCAGCTAAAGGCCTTTTGGTTCAGTTCATTTTGCATTCAAGCCACCGTGGTCATGGCCCGAAGCGCTAGAGCTCAGCATGTCTGATAGGCGATGTCGTAGAGGCTTCGTGCGTTCATGCTTCGCTCTCTCAGACATCAAGGCCGAGCGCTGTCTGCCTGCGAGCTGCCTGCCAGTCATGCGCATTGGCGTGGGGGATATTTCGATGGCGACGGCAGTATTCATTTAAGAGTTCAGAATAACGGCGTAGCCCCCAGGATGTCCATTACAGCATCGATTTCCAAGCACACATACAGGGCGATCAGCGCGTTTCAGCACAAGTATGGGGGAAACACGTATGAACATCACCATTGTTCAGAGAGACATCCGAATTGGCGTCCAGTATATCATTGGGTGCTGGAGGGAAGCACGATGTTCCCAGCGTTGGATGATTTGCTTACGTGTGGGCTGTGCATCAAGAGGCCTCAAGCGGATCTGCTCC